CTCAGCACAGCCTGCAGGAGAGCGAAGCGAAGCAGGGGAGTCGGTGTGGTGGGGGCAAAGCAAAAGCAAACCGGGTTCGACTGGCAAAGTTAGAAGAGGCTTTCTGATAAAAAAGCCACGTGCTCTGCGACCCGTGCTCTTCGCTTTACATCTAGAGCTGGGCTCGCTTGCAGTCAAACGCCGTCGGTAAGAGCCGTCCTGCTCGCAGGGCAGGGATGGAACCCCTGTGCCCAGTGGGTTGGCACGGACAAGGGACGTGTGCTCAGCTAACCTGGGTTGGCGTGCTCAGCTAACGGCGGCGCGATGCCCTGTGTGCAGATCTGATGTACGTGCTGTGGCTGTTCTTCGTTGTCATGGCCTGGAACTGGAACTGCTGGCTGATCCCTGTCCGCTGGGCTTTCCCCTACCAGACGCCGGCAAACATCCACTGCTGGCTGCTCCGGGGCCTCCTCGTGGACTACCTCTGCGACCTCGTCTATCTGCTGGACATCCTCGTCTTTCAAACCCGGCTGCAGTTTGTCCGGGGAGGGGACATAATAGTGAGTGGCAACGCGCTGCGTCCCACTGCGGGGGGCTGGCTGCGGGGACCTCCCGTCCCCATCACCCCCAGTGGCGTGGATGGTGCTGGTCACAGGCTCTGAGCTCTCCAAGCTCTCCCACCATGGCTGTGGCCATCAGGGCTGTGTCCACTCTTGGAGGACTGCAAGCATCTCTCCTGCCATGTAGTGGATAAGCTGGCAGCCATCTTATCCACCAAACATACGTGCTTTTTCCCTAAAGTTCATTTTTTCCAGCCCATCTAGAAAGCGTGTGATCCGTGGTGGCCCCGTTCCTGGGCAAGGACGTTCAGGGATGCTCAGGGTCCCGCAGGGCGGCCCTGCCAGCGGTGCGGTGAGGAGCACGCCGCCGGCCCCAGCGCAGCCGCACACCGCTGATTGAGATCAGACGGCATGATAATCCCTGGGCTTGATTTTCAGGAGCACAGACCGCGTTAGCCATGCGACAAAAGCCATTGCGCTCGGAGCGCAGAGATCGCGCATCTGAGATAAGCGCCAGCCCTCCGTCGCTTTTCCATATAGAGTTAAATAAGCTGTGAAAAGTAAAACCTGGAGGGTACAGCCTTCCCCTTGTCCATGCAAATGCTCAGACAGGGGAGGTTCCACCTGCAAACGCTGATTTTTGTGGTGCTGGCACTGCGGTGTGTGTTCTCTGGGATACAAAAGGAGCGTGGAATGTCCTGAGATGGGAAGGGAAGATGGCACACGGCCAGGTCCTCTGCTCCTCTTGCTCTGCTCCCCTTCCCAGGCATGAGGGCAGTGTGTGGTGCAGAAGAGGAAAGCCAGGCATGACCGTGTTGGCCATGACTTTCCTTTCTGCAAGCAATGACTGACCTTTCTCTCTCTCTCCCCCTCCTATTCCCAACCAGACCGATAAAAAGGCCATGAAAGAGAACTACCTGCGATCACAACGCTTTAAGGTTTGATGTAATTTTATTTATTAAGCTGAATCTTTCATCTGAACCGCGGCTTGCGGCTCCACCCCACCGTGCCTGCAGATCCCCGCAGAGGTTTCTCTCTCTGTGTGGCTTTCAGATGGATGTGGTGTGCCTTCTGCCCCTGGATTTCTTCTACTTCAAAGTCGGTGTCAACCCGCTCCTGCGCTTCCCTCGCTGTCTGAAGGTGAGTCGGAGCTTATGGAATCAGGCAGGACACCAGTTTCAGTGGATGTGAAGGAGTCCCACGCTGGTTTGGCTGAGCTCTGGCTTGCTGGGCTCATCGACGATGACAAGAGGATTGTGGAATGGACAGGAAGTCTTGTCCCGAAGGCTTTGCGGGGCTGTTGGGCAAAAACCTCATTTCAATCCTAAAACACGCTCACATTTGAATAGAAGGGCACTTACAGATGGAGCCAGATCTGGCCACGGCAGGTGACGCTGCAGGAGGGAACCGGAGGGGGAGCAGGGTTTTGTGGGGATGTAACTCTCCCAGCGGGGGCCGGGGGGAGCTGGAGCACTCTGCTTTCCTTCTCCCCCCAGTACATGGCCTTCTTCGAGTTCAACAACCGCCTGGAGGCCATCCTGAGCAAGGCGTACATCTACAGGTGAGAGGGAGAGAGGGAGGGCGGGCGGGCGAGCGCGCGGAGTTGCTGTGTGCCGCTGGGGAAGAAGGTTGACTTTGGTGTGCATCCCTTCTGGGTTTCTGATTTATTTTCCCACTGTCCCTGGACCAGCTGACATGGACGTTGGCTGATGCAGGAGGG